GCCTAGGTTTTTTTTTTTTAATTAGTTCAAATTAGGATCAAGCTTGTTTCAAATGTCGATCCCTTCTCCCTCTCCCACCACTCATCCCCATCCCTCCTCCCCAACCCCCAACCTACCCCCGACCCCATGCACCCTCTACTCGCCAGGCAGGGTAGAGCCCTCAAAAGGGGCGGGTCTGGATCAGTCCTGTACTGGCCTTCCGGACAGCAGTCTGGGGTTGATTTCCTCCCCTTTGTTCAGGCCAGCTGTTTCTGTGGGTTTCTCCAACCTGGTCCAGACAGCAGTCTGGGGTCGATTTCCTCCCCTTTGTTCAGGCCAGCTGTTTCTGTGGGTTTCTCCAACCTGGTACCCCGAGTGAGGTAACCCAGTCACAAAAAGACAATCATATGAGTATGTATTCACTCATATATGAATTTTAGGCAGAGCAAAGGATAACCAGCCTACAATCCTCTTCACCAAAGAAACGAGGAAACATGAAGGACTCTAAGGGATAAAGACATGGGCCCCAGGAATGGGAAGAGGCAGGAACTCCTGTGCTAATTGGGAGCATGAGGGTAGGGGAGAGGGAGCTGCCAGATTGAGAGCAGGAGAAGAGGAGTGGAGGAGAGGAAATGGAGGAGCAGAAATATTGAGTTGGGGGCTGAATAGAGGCGAGAGAGCAGGATGAGAGATACCATATCAGAGGGAGCCATTATAGGTTAGAGGAGAGATCTGGCGCTAGGGAGATTTCCAGAGACCTACAAGGATGACACGAACTGACAGTCCAGGCAATGGTGGAGAGGATAACCAAAAACCCTTCCCCTAAAATGTGATTGATGAATACGTTTTATGCCATCCCAGAGCCCTCATCCAGTGGCTGATGGAAGCAGAGACAGACATCCACAGATATCCACTGAACTGAACTCTGGAACTTAGTTGAAGAGAGGGAGGAATGAAGATCAGCGCAGGATATTATGCAGACATGATCCACTCTGGTGTCTAGACTGCATTTTTTTCTAAGCAGTTTCTCCGCATTTCTCTCTACGTGAATGTACTGCATGACTCCTGTTGCTAAACACTGACAGCAACACTGTTCTCCCATGATATCCCAGAGCTCACCTGGGTCATCTACAGTTCTTGACCCTGGAGCCCATTCAAATGTGAATTAGTAAAATAACAGATATAAGAGCCACAAGTTCAATTGTCCTGTCAGCATGTCAGTCACCACTCAAACAGTGGAGGCTGCACACAAAGCAATCTGGTGTCATTCTTCATAATTAAATATATTGACTGAGACGTCAAACAGACGTGCATCCTGTTTGTTAACTTCTGTAGACTCAAGAAAAGGAAAACCTAACTTAAGGACACCTGGTAAAATAAGGACTTATAACTGTCTGGGATAGAGTATGAAAGAGACTGAGAAACAAAAGACAATTGGAGGAGCGTTGGAAGTGAGGCCATCCTTCTGGAGGCTGTGCAGGTCACCTGGAAGACTTGTTTCCTGCCTGGGGGACCAGACTCCAGCAGCACAAGGCTCTAACAAAATCCATGGAGTCAGAGTACTATGACATTTTTAGTCTGAGGTTGTTAAGGAAAAAAACATATACACTCTTGATGGTTTCCTTCTTTATGCTTTTCCTGTACTCTTTCTTCTGTGTTCTATATTCTGTTATCTCTATCCAGAAATGTCCCCTCTTTTTCTCTTGATGGTTTCCTCCTCCTGATCCTTATTATTCCCTCACAGCTTTTAAACCCCATCAAAATTTTCCAAACAATATAAAAATTACAATATGGTTACATTCAAATTTTCAAGAGAATAATTGCAATCAATATAAGCAAATAGAACAGCATATTTTCCATATCTTTTACATGATTAAATATTTTTCATATTATAGATGAAAAGAGAGTTGTTGCAGGAACCCCTGTACAATGATACCCAAGCAACATGTTATAGATTAACAGTGTAAGCAATCAAGGTATTCTTCTCAGCCAGTTCTTTTACTGGCAGGCTGCAATTTGTGGCTACAAAGAAAGGACCAATCATTTCATTCTTTATCTTGAAAAGTAATCCTATAAGAAATCTTAAAAGAATGAGGAATCTAAATTTATATTAAAACCAGCATTATCACTTTTTATATCAGGAGGCTGAAGGAAGAAATTGGTACAAGGTATTAGTCATTATCTTTGATTATCAACCAATCCTGAGCATAAAAACATGTCAGCTAATAAAAATTGGGCTGCTGTGTATTTGTGACCCCAATGTAATAAATTTATAACTCAACTATGTGTCCTTGTGATGTTTAGTTATTTTCCGGTACATTTCATCTCAAAGCTATTATCAAATCATCTAATCCAACTGATAGTTATTTTCAGGCTTGGTTGCAGCTATGATGCACACCAAAACCTGTGAATGCATCTTTTAACATTAAGATTGAAAATATTTGAGACAGCCTGGCTTCCAGGGACTCAATTGTTTTCCTTATTCATTAACCAAACTACAGTCTAAGTAGCCATGGAGGTGAAACTCAGAAGCCCTAGCTGTGTGACACTACCTTGTATTTATTTTCCATTATCAAAAGAATATTTAAAATAAGTTTATTATTATCAATTAGACAGTAAGTCTTAAGAAGAAATTATCTTCACAATAATGCACAGGCAGATATGTCCAGTAGAATGGGATGTTTCCACATAGGAACACACTGTATTACAGGCAGTGGGGATCTCCCCACACCCATTGACACAATTCAAGATACCAAAGAAAGATGGCAGCAGCAAAAATGAAAAGGAACAACAGAAGCAAAAGACATTCTGGAGTCTGTGGACTCCAGGTTTTGCCAATCAGAGATTCATCCACCAGGGCTTCAATTCCTGGTTGGCTGACATCTGAACCTCAATGGCCACCTGCTGCTCCTCTGACAGGGCCACCTGCAGAC